ATATCCTTCTGCGTCGCAAATCTTTGTGATCGTCTCCTGTAAACCCGCGGCCAGCGACGCAGACCCTCTGCAGCGCTCGCAGGTTTTCCCCGATCGCAGTCACTGCAGCGCACCGCAATTCATCACCCATATGCAATTCCACGTCACGATAAATTGCTTCAAGGATTTGAATTCTAGAAATGGATGAAAACCATGAAAGTAAACACTGAGACCGACATCATAAAAAATGGCTAGCAAAGACGGCTAGCGGCCTGAAACTACCCTCGGTTTTCACCGCTCTCAACTCAACAGTGCTGATTCATAGGGTCTTTTCACGAGTGGAGCAAAGGCTGCACTGCCCGATTGCCTAGGTTGTACATAAGAACAATCCTCGGTGGGTCTGGTGAATAAACGTGCTTAGATGGTCTGGTATTTGAGCGGCGGAGCAGGAAGAGTAAGGTGGACGTTCCCACTTCAAAGAGCGCATGAACTTTTCTATACAGAGGAGCTGTCTGTGCTATCGGCAGCATACCTTGGCGCTCGGCAATGGCTAGTCAAGCAAAGGGACCCTCCCAAGGGCATACTTTATGATGAAACCAGCTGGTGTATTCTCTTCCGTGAGTACCCTACCCGTTAAACTAGGAATGTACAGTCCTCGTGGCCTGAGACCGCGCAACAGGACCGCTAGGGCCTCGCCATAGAACCCATGACCGCAGACGTCTTGCGCGTGACCTGCTGTATGCGGCGTGGTGGAGAGTCTGCGTCTCACTCGTCCACTATGCTTTCTCCTTTCGCGTTGACTTTCACCGTCTCCTAGATGGGGATAGAGAGTGGTGACCTGTTATTTCACTCGTAACTAGTTTGGAACGGCTGAGATGCTTCGATGTCGAAGTCTTGACCCTTTCTCAGTTTTTTTTTGATTTTGGGTGGTCTGAATAAATGCGAAAAATTTTCAAACATTTTTCTCTGCACTCATTTGTTTCGGAACGAAGCTCAATCACCTAGTGACGTGTGCTCCATCACTATTGACGACTTGGGCCCGCTAGCAGACCTCTTGCAGATCGCTTGCAATGGAAGGCCGGAAACCCGTCATCAGAGGTCATTTTCCAGGTCGGTGACGTCCTTTGAGCTACTGGGCTAGAGGTGGACGATGATTGCTAGGAAACAGTGACTTGGCGGACGAGCAAGGGCGGTGCAGTCCAGATGGAGCTCGCATTAGTCATTTTGCGACATGTGAGCATTCACATGCTACAATCGCCGTTCTCCTCTGGGTTCGCTGCTACCCGGGCTAACTGCCTGCAGTACATCTCAACATTAATTGTTGATGCATGTATCGAGCCCATTGGATTGTTTCTCCAACGTTCCACCTCTAGCTGAGTCTAATCATTTTTGTGGAGCCGTCTGATTCCATCTCGACAACACAACAGCTAAAGGACAGATCCTCGAAAGTAAACGGTACTCGAAACTCGCAGTGGCTCAATCGCTCAGGCTCACAAGCTCAGAAATAACGGAAGATTCAGGCAACAATCTTTAGTAATTCGAGGCTGCTAGAGTGGCCTTGAAAGCGGAGCTCACGATGAAAAAACAGCCCATTAGGAATCAAGGTAAAGGTGATCACGCAAAGATAAAGAAGAACTAACCAGGAAGGTCTTTCAGGGCGTGCAAGCTTTTTGAAAACGGTCTTTTGCATGATATAGGGGCACATGCGGGAACCACAGAACCATGGTTCAATTTTTCCTGAACGGCC